GGAACTTAAAAACCTAGAGGGCAGAGGAGCAAAAAGTGTAAACAGATTGAAAATCACATAGAAACCCTGAAGTAGGACCATAATATTCAGACTAGTAGTTTACACCCTGATGTGGATGCTTATCCTTTAAGAGCAGGGTCTCATCTTTCTCCTTATAAGATCTGATGGACCCACAGAGTCCTGCCTGATCCAAAAGAGGAACCTACCCAAATATGAACCTGACAAAGCTCTGAGATGGGAACTCAATCAATACACATTTTCAGTTCAACATTTATTGTCATTTCCTTTGTTCCAGGCACCATATCAGGTGCTGAGATGGAAAGATCAACCAGGTTTGATGTCTACCTTCCAGGTGTGAAATTTCTTCTTTTAGGAGTCTCCTGAAATGCACATAGTACAGGAAGGGAAACAGCAAAATAGTTCATAACAGTGTTCATGCCTCCTCAGGTTTTGTCTTATACTAAAGGAATATGGCCATGCAGGGAGTGGGTGGCAAAATACAAAGAAAAGTTGAGGGTCACTAACACATTTTACTTAGATTTGAGCTTTATTTCTTCACATAACTTTCCCAAAAGTATAAACATATATTTTAAAAACCCATCACAGTCCCCAGTGATATTCAATAAGGAAACAAACATTATTTCACCTTCCCTTTCAATACACAACCCTATCAGTTGGCTATAAACTGGCTCTTCTCAGTACTACTTGATCATGTTCCCTCTTAGGTAGAGGGAAGAAGGCTACATCTAAGCGTAAGAAGAGAAAATCATTTGTAAAATGAAGCACAATATGGTGCTTTGTGTAGGCATCATTTTGCTAATGTATACTGGGAAGCAGAGAGGCAGGAATGTGTGGCTATTGTGTTAAAGGGGACTAGAGGGTAAATAGTGAATCCCATGAGACTCCTCACCTCCAGGCCCAACCCCCCACACCTGGGGTCTTTAGACTAGTGCATTAATTTGTAATATGGTGCTATAGACTGGTTGGTTTAAACAACAGAAATTTATTGTCTTGCAGTCTGGAGGCTAGAAGTCTGACACACAAGTCAGTCATCAGCCAGGTTGGTTCCTTCTGAGTGCTGGGAAAGATCTGTCCAGGCATTTCTGTTTGGATGATTTATTTTATGTGTTAACTGGCTAGGCCATGGGACCCAGATATTTGATCAAATACCAGTCTAAAGTTCACTGAGATGATATTTTTCAGATGACATTAACATGTAAATCATCAAACTCTGAGAAAAGCAGATTACCCTTCATGTGGATGGGTCTCATCCAATCGAGCAAAAGCTTTTAGAGACAAGACTGAGATTCCTGATGAAGAGGAAATTCTACCTCTAGATTGCCTTTGGAATTGAGCTGCAACATCAACTTTTCCCTGGGTTTCCAGCCTATAGGCCTGCACTGCAGATTTCAGATTTGCTTGAGTCCCCCACTCATGTGAGTAAATTCCTTAAAATAAAAATCTCCACTCCCTAGTGATTTTGTTTGTCTGGAGAATCCTACTACACCTCACCTTTGGTAATTCCTTGACTTGTGGCAGTGTTAACTCCAGTCTTCACTGGGCCTTCTCACTGTGTTTGTATCCAAATTTCCCCTTTAATTAGGACACCAGTCCTAATGTACTAAGGAATAACCTAATGACCTCAATCTCCTTCTAAGGTCGCATTCTAAGATACCATGGTTTAACACTTAAATATGACTCTGTGTGTGTGTGGGGGGGGCCTCAATTCAACTCATACCCATTAGTGACACAAAAAGTATGCCTGCATTTGTAACCCAAAAGGTTTTAGAAAGTTAAAATCACTTTTGTTGACTTTTGCATGTGTATTTGAATACATACCGTTTTTACAGTGAGTATGTCAAAAAGGCTAAGATAGAACTTACCTTGTTTAAGCCATATAAAACTGAGTCAGGCTTGTCCATGCAAAAACAAATCACAATGAATTCTATATATACATAATTATACTGCACTAAAAATAACTATAATAGAAGGGAGATCAGTAGAGCAAGTGGATCTGGGGAGGAAGAGAGGGGATGGGAAGGCACTGGGGAATGTGATAGATCAAATTATTATGTATATGTACAAATACAGTATAATGAATCCTACTAATATGTGTAATTACAATGCACTAATATAAAAAGTATGGCTTAGGAATAAAATTTCAATACACCATCACGGTAGTACCTTAAATCAGGTAAGAACATTTTTTTTTTTTTTTTGGTACTGGAGATTGACCCAGGGGTGTTTAACCATTGAGCCATATCCCAAGCACTTTTTAAAATTTTGAGGCAGGGTCTCTAAGGCCCTCCATAAGTTGCTGAGGCTGGCTTGAACTTGCAACTCTCCTGCCTCAGCCTCCCAAATTGCTGGGATTACAGGTGTGTGCCACTGTGCCCAGAAAGAACTGGGTTTTTGAGTGTGTTCATCACCTGAATTCATTGAGCAGATTTAAAAAGCAATAGGCCAAAAATTATCTGAATATAGAATTCGTTTCTGCCTTTTCCCAACTTTGTAAGAGTAATGTCAAATTATACAAATACAGTGGAAATAAT